TGCCACTTCTAGAAAACATTCCTTCGGAAGTCATTAGTAATTGAAAGGTTTATACACATCAACTGGAAACAGCCTAAATATCCAACAATAATATAGGGACTTGTTATGAAATTATAATTATAATTATATTTATACCATAAATGAATTATGGTATATCCATAGCACAGAATAATGTAGTCAATGAAAATACTTTTGAATAAGTTTAATGACATGGAAAATGTTGAGATTATATCATTAAATGGCAAAAGAAATTTCTCTCTGTTAGTTCTAGAGACTGGAAGATCAGGGTGTCAGCAAACACACCTGGTGTCTGGTGAAGTCATCCTTCCTGCTTCACAGACAGCCATCTTTTACTGTGTCCTCATGATGGAAGGGGTGGGGGAGCTCTCTGGAGCCTGTTTTTTCATAAAGTCACTAATCCCACACATGCATGAAGATTCCACCCTCATGACCTAGTTACCTCCCAAAGTTGCCACCTCCTACCATCATCACCTTGACACTCGCAACTTATGACTAAAGATGGCCACCTATGGATTTTGAGGGTACATAAAGATTCATTTCATTGCATACTCCAGTCTTCTAAAATGAAGATATCAGTTTTCATTATTAAGGTACATTATGGGAATATCCTTCAATTGTGAAACTCACCTGGCATCCCACTTTTTCCTTACATTCACTCATACCTACCCTTTCCCCTCTAACCATCAAGAATACAGTCCCATTCATTTTTCTCTCTCTCCTCTCTTCTCTTCTCCTCTGTGGTCTCACCCAAGGCTATTGACAAGACCAAGATATTAAGCAAACCCATAAGAAAAACTAACCCACTGGCCAGACAATCCCTCTGATACAACTGAGACCTGTTGTTCTTTGAGGGTTTGGGGGCAACAGGTCATTGTTTGACACCTCTGGTGTCAGCCTCTGAAGAATGACAGTTTTCAGGTAGCTTAGCACTTGGAAAACCAACCTCACATGAATGAGTTGCTCATTTCTCACCCAGCCATCACAAGAGGTGTCAGGTCTACTCTTCATTGTTCAGCTGCTAAGTCGTGTCTGACTCTTTGCGACCCCATGGACTACAGCACACCAGGCTTCCCTGTCCTTCACTATCTCCCAGAGTTTGCTCAAACTCATGTTCACTGAGTCAGTGATACCATCCAACCATCTCATCCTTTGGCTCTGGGATCTAGCTAAAAAAGTTCTAAGGAAAGAGAGTAATTGCTTTCTCTGGGGAATATTCTTTATTGGTTATTCTGAAATAGTATAGCTCTTTGGAGCACAAATGATAACAGCCCAAATGATTCATTTAACTCAACCCATAATTTAAAAATATAAGAAACAAAACCATTAGCTAGGATATTTGTATGTGTGAAAAATATTCTTTATTCTTAGATGACTTATTACTACCTTCAAAAAAATAACATTTAGCCTGCCTTAAAGTTTCAAGAGATAACAATTAGTAAACTTCAAATATTATAGCATTCCTATAGGAGGAATCAGATGACTGTGAACATGCAAGTAACCTTGGATTACAAAGGCCATCAACTTCACTGCACAAAAGAGAAAATAAGGGAGACAGAAATTAGGTGGCCACCCCAGTGTGAGGTAAGTTTGACTAGAATGCAAATGTTCTGATTCTCAATAAGTATTTTCTGTGTCTCTCTCCTAAACCCACAAGGAAGAAAATGTATTAGCATTACCTTTTATAACAGTAACACAAAAATGTCTTTATTCCTAAACAGAAATTCAGCAAAACTTTAATCCCACATTTATGAATACCATAGTAGCACATATTTTTTAAAAATGAGTTTAGAATAAGCATTTATTGTAATTCCAGAGAATGGCTTATGGAGCCTAAACAAGTATTAAATCAAGAAAATTCATCAAATAAATGATGCTATGTTATTAAATAATATTTTGTTCCTTGTCAACAAGCCAACAACACAATATGACAGAATACACTACAATTTTCATTCTACAAGAAACTTCTAGGTTTTTTCTGTAAACAACAGATATTTTACTCAGGTAAGCAGGTAATATCTAAGGCTATGCTAGAAACCACCAAGTTTTGGGTCATTCACAGACTCAGCCAGAAGTCACTGAATTTAGACTGCTCCATTTTTAACCAACCATGCTGGGTATTCACGCTGTTATCCATATGGTGCTATAACATGGCATTGTTCTGGCCACTTGTGCCTTCACTGCCAACAACCCAACAGGAGGGTGAAATTAAAAGATAGGACTGCTCAGTTGGGCAAAGGCCAATTCAATTCATTCTTTAGTGTTTCTCTTTATAGAGAGAAATAAATAAGACTGAGGAGAATGAATTCAAATTCACAATTTTAGTCTCAACCAGGGTATTGAAGACTCCCATTTAATAGAAATCAAGGTCTTGGATAATTAGTTATGTCATAGGTATGTTCTCAGCTTCGAAATAAATGACAAAAGCATAAAAGGAAGAGAATCCTAGGGGAATTATTTTCTATTACAAATCATTTTATAAAAAGATTTCCAACCACCTTCTTTAAATCATGTTATATATGACAGAAAACTGCAAAAGAAAAAGAAACATGCCCAGTGTGTTGGAAGGGTGCCAAAAGTGAGCTGTGATAATGCCAACAGTATTGGCCAGTTCAGTCATACTGATTCAGGTCCTTGATGGGTGCTGAAAAGCAGACCACAGGTTGGACGCCAAAATATGTCACTTAGGTTTGAGAAGAGGAGAAACATGCAGTACTTGAAATTCTGGATACAGCTGTACCCTTGAATTATCAGAAAAGAGAGAGACTCCCAAATGGTTAAAGACAGACTTGTCACTACTATAGGAAAAAGCAAAGTAGACACCATTCCAAAAGTCAGTAGCATCTTGTGGTATACGGGCCATCCTGGATTATTATATTGAGTATTAATCACAAACTTTCACTTTTCATATAGGCTATTAAATCACTTCTATTTGGATCAAGGGAATACAAGAAACTCACCAAGTCTCTACATATCAATATGAGGACAACTGCTGTGACTAACAGTTGAAGGCAGCTGACCCCCTTGTGTAAACTGTAAGTCATGGGATTGTCCAAAGGAATAAAAAGATGTTGAGGAAGAGGAAAAATGAAATTCCAGTTTCAACTATGAAATTAACTTTTATTTAAAAAAAAAAAGGCAGAAAAAGGCAAAGTACAAAGCTCTCTCCATTCTCTAACAAATGTATTTCTTCCAACCAAACGAACAGCCTGGAATCAGCTTTCTGCACACAGGTCAATAGCTGACATGCTTGTTTTTCAAAACATAAGACTATACATCTCTTTCAAATGCATTAGCCAGCTAAAAGTGAGCATGGCCAGGATTTATCAGCCAGGATTGATCAGACGTCATTCGGCAGCTGTATGGAGTCCCTACTATTTGTGGTCACAGAGCAACTGGCTGCTTCCCACAGGCTCTTTTTAGAGAGACTGAAAGTTCAGATATAAGTTCCCATTTTCTGTAAGTAAACATCTGCTCTACAAGCAACTTGAACCCTGCAAACACACCCACTTTCTCACTGTAAGTCTCAGCACAGGATAGGATCAAAGAGGGCATCCGTGCTAGAGTCCAATCATTTGAAACAGGTCTTTAAGTCTGTTCCTTTGTGCATGTTAATCTCTGCAGGTGAAATAGCTGATTTAGTTCTCAAGCAACAATAATGTCCATTGAAAAATACACCTTCCTGAAACAAAAGATACTTACTGTTCCCATGAAGTACTGTCTGTTGCCATTTCCAGCAACAAATGACACAAAAGAGAAATTCTGCCATTTGTGCCACTCAAGAGTGGCTTAGGACAAATAGAAATAAAACACACACACACACACACACAAACAGAGCAAAAGCTTAAGAAACAAGACCAAGATGAGTTGGGGGCAGGAGAGGAGAGGTGAAGTCTGAGAGGTGGAGTCTACACTCAGTGATCTGAGTTCAGCCTCACTGATGAATGGAGGGCGGGGGGAGGGAGAGAAAGGGTAGGTAACGTTTTCAGTTGAGAAAAAGAAGCGTGTGCTGCTGTCCCGGTTTTGTTTCAATAGCACCCCGGAGAATGCATGGCAGGCAAAATCTAATTTGGTAACTAAGATTGATTCAATAAGTAACACAAGTTTGTTTATGACACAAAGGAGTTATCCAAAATATGGCAATTCTTTAAAACTATTTGTGTTCTGGTATCAAATTAAAGTTTACGGTTATTCATAGGAAACATCTATCGATTTAATAACACCCTTTTGCAGGCTGTGCACCCGTCCCGTCCTCTTTTAAAGAAATCGCTAATGGCCCAGAGTCCTGGAAACCTACAAACTATTGTCGCCTATTTCCCAGCACTGTGGTCTGATACTCAGTGTCCCTGGTGGAAACCAAACAGCTGCCAGAAGCCAGAGTCCCTGGAGAAATTTCCGAAGCCCAGTCCTGGCAATCCGTGGGCCAGGGTGAAAGCATTTGGAAGCGTGCGCGGTTCCTCCGCCCTCCCGGCCGTGCGTCTGTACCGTTTCTGGCTGTCAGGTGAGTGGCGACAAGGCTCGGCGGGGATGCCTCTGCCGGCAGCGCGCCGTGATCACCCGGCAAAGAGGGACAATCCCGGCGGAGTGCAGCTTGTCCCGCGGCCGGCCGTTGCTCACCTTTGTTCGCCCGCCCTCTCCGGTAGGAGGACAGCGCGGATCCAGGAGGGGTGCGGGGGGGCTACCCCAATGCTCCCCGGGCCCTCTCCAGCGCCCCGAAGGAAATTCGGAGGCCAGCCAGACCCAGACCCTCTCCGGCTCCCAGAACCTCAACCGTGCTGAGGGGTCAGCAACCCCTTCCAGAACACAAAGGTTGGGAGGCGTGAGCGCTAGCGCTGGGGGCGCGGGTGCGTGCGCCAGAGAGCACGCGAGTGTGCGTGTGCGCGCAAGGATGTGCGGCTGTGTGTGTGTGTGTGTGTGTGTGTGTGTGCGCGCGCGAGGGTGTGCGGGTGTGTTGGGGGGAGGAGCGCTCCAGCTCTCCTTACCTCTCGAAGATGAGCCGTACCATTAACATGCAGAAGGCCAAGGGGAAGGCGAGATAGAGGTCCTCCGCCTGCGGGAAGGTGGCTTCCTCCGTGTTCTTCAGGTCCGCCCAGGTGACATTGTGCGGGAGCCAAAACCTCTCGTTCCAGAACCAGGCTAAGATCCCTGCCATCTTGCTTTGTCCACTCTCGTCCCGGGCTCCCGCGGCCCGCCGAGCTCTCCACCGCGCAGGGCGCCAGGGGATGCGCGCGCTGCTGGTCCGAGCCTGTGCCGCTGCCGCCGCTGCCGCCGCCGCCTCCTCCGCGGCCGCCGCTCTCGAAGGCTCGCGGCGAGCTCCGGTTCTCTCCTCCCTCTGGCCGCGTTGGGGAAAGGAGCCGCCTCGCCTGTCACATGGCAGCCCGGGCCGCTGGCCCTGATTGGCTCGTCCTCGCGTCAAGCAGCGAGGCACACGCGGCCGGCTAGCCCACGCCCGGAGGGCAGGGCGCAGCCGCTGCGCCCCGGGCGCAGGAGCACCGCTCCTGGGAGAGCCGACTGGCCCTGCGGTCACCGAGCTCTGGAGCGGCGCTTAGGGTAAAGACCTGGGTCGGGCTTCCCGATTCCGCTCCGGTCCCCCGGGCTTGCTCGCACATGCTCAGAACACCGGCTCCGGCCCGACTGGAGTTTCAGGGATCTCAGTCGGCTTCCAGTGCGCCTACAGGCGATGGGTGGCGGGCAGGTAGTGGTCGGGGTGGATATTCAGAACCACCCTTGCGCCAAGAGAGAACAGCAAAAGGAGAAGTGGGGGCGCAGAGCGCAAAGGAGGAAGAAGTAGAGAGGAAAGTCACCCACTCCAGCGCTTGGAGTAGGAGGGGGGTGGAAATCAGGAACTAGGGCAGGATGGTTTGGCAAGAGTCGTCTGCCTCTACCTAACTCCCGTCTTTCCCCATACCAGACCTTCCAGCCTGGTTTTACTCCCGCTCTTCACCACAACCAGCTCCCCCAGGGAACAAGGCCCTCTGTTTCAATTTATGACGTTGTGGGAGAAATCAGGCACTTAATTGCTGTGTGACAATGATGGGATGATGTTGATGACGATAACAACCGCAGCATTCTGTAAAACCAGCCCACAAAATGAGTCTCTCAGAAAATGGCGCCAGACCATTTTTACTTGGTACATCAGTAGAGAATCTCCACTCTGCTACTCCTTGGTTCTGCCTTTTGAATCGGAAACCTTTAAGGTGTTAAGACCCGTGAGACCGGACCCCAGGCACCTTGACTTCCACGATACATTTCCTCACTGCTACGGGAGCCACGTGTGGATCATCAGTTCAGTGGTACATGCAACCTGGTTCCCTGGAATATTTTTGTGGAGTTTTCTCACAAATATTCATTTCCTACTTGGTTCTGCTAGTAAGTTCTACTGGTTCTTTCCGAGAGGCAAATAAACAGACTCTCTTAATACACGTTTCTTTACTCTCCCTCCCCCTCCAGCTGCCACGCTCTTACTCCTTCCTTTTAAAGCTCATCTCTAAAGGCCTGTATCTATTGCTTCCACTCTTTCCCCTCCATTCTCTTTCGGACTTCCCCTGGAGCAGTTGCACCTCTTTGCTCAAGGTCACCAGTGGTCTCCATGCTGCTAAACCCAAAGGTCAGTTCTCAACACCGTATGGGGAACCTTTGGCCAAGTTCATTAGTTGCTGCCTTTGGAGACACTTTCTTGTCTTGTTTTCCAGAAACCACATTCTTTCTGGTTTTCCTCCTACCGCCTGGGCACTTTTGCTGAATCTCCTTTCTGGTTTACTCCTCACCTTTCAACTCCTTAAAGTTGGTGTGGCCTAGGAGGCAGTCTTTTTCCCTCTTCACTTTTCTGTGTTCATTCGCTTGGTGATCTTATCCAGTGCCCTAGATTTCAGTGCCATCTATGTTGCTTTCAGTGATGTAGTGATGGCTGCAAAATATCTATTTCTAGCATGAACTTTTCCTTGAACTTCAGACTCCTAAAGCTACTATCAAGTCAACTACTCCACTTGGATGTCTAAGAGCTATTTCCTGTCCAGACTACTAACCTTCCCCGTTAGTTTTTCCCCTCCTGCTTTCTTGGCTCAGGCTAAAACCCTGGAGTCATCTTTTATCCTTTTCTCTCTCTTATCTCCTTTATAACTACTTACATATCCTGTCAGCTCTTTTTTTTTTTTTAATTGATTTATTTATTTGGCTGTGTAGGGCCTTATTGCAGCACACAGGATCTACGATCTTCACTACAGCATGTAGCATCTTTAGTTGTGGCATGAGAACTCAGAGTTGTGGCATGCAGGATCTGGTTCCCTGACCAGGGGTTGAAATCCAGGGCCCCCTGCATGGGGAGCATGGAGTCTTAGCAGCTTGACCACCAGGGAAGTCCCAGGTCCACCTTTAAACTATCTAAAGAATCACACTATCTCTCACCACCTCTTGTTGGTTCAAAGAACCAACTACCATCTTGGTTCAGGCAACCAACAGTTCTCTTCTGAGTTACTGTAGTAGCCTCTTAAGCCCCAGTGTCAACACTTATATACTTCTCCAGTCTATTCTCAGCCCGTGTGATCCAGTTGAACCAGTAGGATAATTGAATCTGTGCTGAAAGCCATACTGCTTCCCCATTTCTCCCCTGTTAGAAGCCAAAGTCATTTCAGTGACCAAAGAAATGCGTCTGCACATTACCTTTCTGACCTCGCTTGCCCTCCCTTCTTTGTGAACGAAGAACAGCGTGCCTTGTTCACACTGGCCTCCCTGCCCTACCTGCAGAGCATTTAGCAGGACTTTGAGCCTTCGTAATTGCTTTTCTCTGTCCCTGGACCTCTTCCTGCCAACTACCCATGCCCACTCTTTCTGTAATACCACTCACGTAGTGAAGAGTTCCCTGGCCACCCTAGTTTAAATCTGTAATTCTCACTCCCCACCCCTTCTCTTCTTAGTCAACTTTCTTAGTTTGTTTTCCTCTGAAGCATTTATCACCATCTAACACAATATATGTTTTACTGTTTTTTATTGGTCTCCTGACACACACACTAAATTGTAAACTTTTGAAAGAAAGATGTCTGTTTATTGCTGTTTTATCCCTAGCACTTAAAATAATGCCCAGCACACAGCAGCTACTCAATAAACTATTGAATTAATGAATCAACACTAACCTCACAAAAATCTTCTCTAAGAGAGGGGAAAAGGTGAATAAAAAATAGTGTTAAATTTTACATACTCATGTGAAGACTAATGTGGGCATTAAAAGGGTGTGATCAGTTCTAAGATTGGGTCGGGGTGGTATTCTTGAGGTGAGTATTCATCAGGGAGTAGGTAGGTCCCCATTTGAGACCATGCAGTGAGCTGTTCATTATTACTGGTGACCTTCCAAAAAGATGCCTTTGCACCAGATGCATTCTTGTAGGCCACAGAGACGAGGTCTGTTAAGGTCTCTTGCCACCTTTGTTGGATAAAGTCATGTCATGGTGGATCCTGACCTTCTAGGCCGAAGAAGACCCCCTCTCTGGCTGCCGCTGGCCCCTTGTATCACTGTCACGTATGACTTGATAGGACCTTGCCTTCTCTGCTGCCCCGAAAGACCCGTTGTGTCCCCACACATATACAAGTGGAAACATTGGTGACTTAACACCCTGGGGCCTGAAATTTGACCCTGGGCAAAGGAAGCCAGAGGATAAATTTTCATTCTTTTCCCTCTCCTGCTCCCGGAACATACATGGTAACTTCAAACAGGCTCTCAGGAAATGCCCTGTGATACAGAGCATTCAGCTTATTTCAAAATTGTATCTAGCTCAGGAATTGCCTTACATTTCCTCTCTTTCTCCATCTTAGTCCCCTTTTCTTTCATTCCTGTGGTAGGTGAAAGTGAACAGTTGTGTCTGACTCTCTGCAGACAGAGAGCCTGTCTGGACTCCTGCCTGTCTGGACTGTAGCCTGCCAGGCTCCTCTGGCCATGGGATTTTCCAGGCAAGAACTCTGGAGTGGATTGCCATTTCCTTCTCCAGGGGGTCTTCCTGACCCAAGGATCAAACCTGAGTCTCCCACATTGCAGGCAGACTCTTTACCATCTGAGCCACTGGAGCATCCCAAATCTTTCATCCCTGCTTCCCTGAAATTACACCTCCTTGGAAATGCTCTTTTTTCTAGAGAAGAGCCTGTCTGGATTCCTGCCTGTCTGGACTGTAGCCTGCCAGGCTCTTTTGGCCATGGGATTTTCCAGGCAAGAACACTGGCATGGATTGCCATTTCCTTCTCCAGGGTGTCTTCCTGACCCAAGGATCGAACCTGAGTCTCCCACATTGCAGGCAGAGTCTTTACCATCTGAGCCACTGGAGAATCCCAAATCTTTCAACCCTGCTTCCCTGAAATTTTACCTCCTTGGAAATGCTGTTTTTTCTAAAGAAGGCAAACTAAGATCATGTTGCTCCTATTCATCAACTCTGAGAAGGTGGTGAGATTTCAGGAACACTTTGAAAGATAGCTTTTGTTGGACACTGGAAAGAGAACTCACTACTTATCTGTGTATCTTGCACAAGTTGCTTAGTTTCTAAGAGCATGTTAACACCCTCCTGCGTAAGTTGTTACCAATAGTACCTGTCTTGCCTATGTCACCAGACGATCCTGAGGTTCACATGAAATAATACATAGGAAAAGGCTCATAAACTCTTAATGCCCTCTGTGCACATGCAGAGTTTAATGAACCTCTGCCCCTTTACCTGTCCAGCATATTCCATACAGGCAATGGCTCCTTCCTATCACCCTTCATCCAAATGATTACCCCAGAAACAGTACAATAGAGCAAAATATCATTCCATGTCTTACCACAATTTATTGGTCCAGGAATGGACCCTTGTACCAAGATAGCAATTAAAATCCTTCTTCAGGTGTTGGGGCATGGGTCAAGCCATTCTTTCTCTGGTCACTTGGACTCTCGAGTTTCAAACTCAGAAGCTGTTGACCCATGCTTCATCATAAGGATAGAAAATGGAGAAGCTCAGTTCAGGCCCTGGGAAAGGTTGGTCCTAGGAAAGACACAGCCCAGCATACCTCCCAAGTAGGTCACTTTTTATTTACCTGTGCAGAAAAGAATCCTAATTTGTTGTCCCAGGAAACCAAAGTACAATTTATTTATTGTACAAGTTTGTAACTCAGTAAGAAAACCAATTGGTAGCTTGTAAA